GAAAGAGGGTCAGACAAGATAGCTTAAAATAATTGGTCAGGGCTTACCTACCTCACAAAGGGCAAAATAACAGGATTAGAAAAGGAGCTTTAACTATGTCATTCATGGCTGCTATTGTTTCAGAGAATAGTTTTATATAAAAATAAAGCCATATTCTCTACCTGTAAAGGGTAAGAAATATCAAGAACAGTCAGTCAACTCCACAAATACCTAGAATGTCTGGTTTTTTTTAAATATCTTTATGTCATCCCAATGTGCCTGTCCATTTCTCTCATCCACTCCCGTGCCATTGAGGTGACATACGTAGTCCAGAGGCTGGAAAAAGTGGAAATCTTCACGGAGCAAGTCGCGTCTCTGGGTAGTTGCTCTTTGTGCCTTCTGTATGCCTTCCACTGGCTTCTTTGATTGAAGCCTGGTCCTCCTACCACCCTGTCAACCAGACTGATGGCATTTGTGAGCATTTGAGTCATGCTTTCACATTCAGACTTTTTACCTTATCCAAGCCAATGGAAATTATTTTTATTTGGGTTAAAAGAAGGATCAAAGAAATCCCACTGTGAGTGGGAGCCTCTCCTATGTGGCCTCTGATGGGTTTGTAGTGCTCAAATCACTGATAAGGCAAGAAGACAAAGCTGAAGGATAGCAGGTCCATCCGCAGCAATATGCCAATATTTGCATCATTGAAGTTTGTGCCAGTCCATAGACAATGAGAGAATATGGCTTTCCATATGTATGTAGTAAAATATATTACTATAGATTTTATATACTTTATAAGTATTTTATATTTCTTTCCCTTCTGGGAAGGGTTATAATTTGTAATAAATGCATATAATGAGCGTATTTATTTTTATACTTCTTGTCTAATGTGATCTTCTAAGTTATCGCTTTTTTAAAAGGACATATAACAAGGATAGAGTATTTATACAGTATAATATGCTACTAGAGGTAATAAATGAACCCTATGAATTTTGGAAACGGAGCCTCTTTATTTCATGGGAGTAAAACTAGTCCATCAAGTGGAAAGAGCTTGGAATCTAAAGCAATGTTACGAAAAAAGCTAAACCACATTTTTCAAAATGACTGGTAGCTTAGGCTACTAATTGACTGTGTTAGTGAAGGGGTTTGGAAAACTCTACCCATAATGTCATATACTATGTTAAAAGGGGTAATTTTGTATTTTATTACTTAACCACTAACAGGGTGCTCAGCACTGTTGTTTCATCTTTTAAAAAAAAATGGAGTGCAACTAGACTGGTGCCACTGGTTTTAATAACTGCTTACAGAGAGTATTGCTGTCAGTGGTGTTTATAACCAACAAAATATGTACAAAAGTAGCAGTTTTACCCGCTCCACTTAACCTTACCCTACTGGGAAAGAAGCAGTCAAAATTCAAAACCATTAACTAGCAGTCAGAGGTTTCCTTCACAAATTTCTGGAGGGCCTTCTGATCATGCTTTTCTGATTAGAAGTACTGTATGAATGAGCTGGTTTAACGCTGTTTGTAACACGTTTAATAATGTTAAAATACATACTAAGTATCAAGAACCTGAATTTTGCTCCCTCATTTCTGATCTCATGACCACTCCAGTCAAGAGAAAATCTGTTGAACTCAGTAAGATTTTTGCAATGGAATTTGAGACATCAGTCTTTTATGAATACTTTTGGCTTTGTGTCATGTAAAAATCTATTAAAACTTCTTTTGCAGTGTTTGGACCCTGTCTTGCAGAAATAGTTTCCACTTTATTCCATGGATAAAATCCTGGCCCCTCTAAAGCACATAGAAAAATTCTCATCACGTCACACTTCACTGAACATTACTTTGACATGCAAAAATACTAGGGAACATTTTATTGCTGACATTACTTCAGAGGGACCCAATCACTTTCTGTCTTTATAAATATTTAAAAGTATTTATAAATACAACATATACTTTATTTAATAGTATACATGTATATATACACATGTATATTTTACTACAAGAGTAGGAATATATGCATTTTCAGGAGAATAAAAAAAGACTCATTTTTTAATTTCATTTTCTGCTGTTGTTCTTACTCCTTGTACACTTCATATCCCTAACACATAGCTGCCAGTTGGTGTTGCCTGAAACACTTTTTTTAAGAGCAGCTACAACCCTGAAACTGCAAGACCTTCCCATATCCACAGAATTGGTGCGGTTCCTCAACTTCTGGGTGATGGTGATTGCCCAAATTTGCTCTTACCAACATAGAAGATACATTCAAAGCAAGGCTAAGAAAGCCCTGTGGAAGAACCAGCTTCTCCCAGACCTACCCTTATCGATTAAAGCAAGTCCAAGGTGCTGACATATTCTCACCTCTTGCAGTAGCACTCAGGGAGGCTCTTGGGAGAGAAAAATGGTCTTTCACGCTGAAGGGAATTTGGATCCAATCAAATGCAGCAAATCCTCCCTTTTTTAACAAAAGGTGCTGAAGCGTTCTGCATTTCCAAAATCCTTTGTTCCCATATTACGTAGATTAGATCAAGTCAGCCTCGTGGTTAACTAGAGCTAAGTGATGAGTCAGGGGACAAATCAAACACATTCAGTATTTTAGAAAAAGAAATGGCAATAACAACTTTTTTTTACAATCTTGCAAAGGACTGCATAATAAAATGAGTGATGAACTAATAAAAAGTTATGATATAATGGCAGCCTATTTTCTATGGTGGTATTCGTTTCTTTAGAGCATAAACATAGCAGCAGGAGGCCAACACGCTACCCATATTTGTAGTGCAGTTGACCAAGACTGCATTTCCAAGTCATAGTTTACTGACTACTTATTTTTCTTTGACTAGATCATGAATTCTCAGCAGTTGCATCTGTAATACAGTAATATGGTTCATGAAATAGCCTATTTTTAATAGGCCAGGGTGATGAAGAACATGCTTCAAATAATGTATTAATTAAACAAAGCAATCAAAGAACTGCTCCCTCCTGCCCTTTAGTTACAAGAACGTCTGCTGCTCTGCATGACCCAGCAAGGGGAAACAAGCAAAAACAGCAGAGAATAGTCTAGCTGCATAGCAATCAAGATCACAATTAATCACATCGCCTGCATCAAAAGTCTAGCAATTTATAGCTTTTATTACAAAGGGCTTTTTCTGTGCACATTCATTACCATGAGCTGGAATCCCAACACTATTTTACTGGCTCCTAAGGATGCTCTTGTGAGCAGAAGTAGCACTGAAGCTTGTGCTGGGGGAAGCATGAGAGCTGGCACTTTCTGCCAACCCAGGAGCTCTCTGCTGGGGCTTTGGCTGCTGATTCCACTGGTGCCCAAATGGGCTTCAGACCCTAGACAGGATTGTTGTTTTCGACCAGGTTCTCGCAGCTGTCAAGCTTGAAAGGTTGGGTACAAGGTTTCCAGTACCTAGCGTTTGAGTCTAGGACAACCTCACTTCAGTTTGGAGCCAAGTTTATCCAGCTTCCCCCCAGATTCAGAGAAGCCAGATTCCATCACCTTCTTTTTAACATTTTGGTGTCATAAGATAAATGGGTTTAGCTGAGTAGTGTGGGCTTGATGTCTGTATCTTCAAGTATTTTCAGAGGTGTGGGGAGAGGCAGGTGTCTAAATGAATGAAATGAATCTTCCTTAGTCAGCCTTGGTTTCATTGCTTTCAAGGCTGAGTGATCCTCCAGTTCTTGGTAAGGCTGAAGTCTCTCTGTTAGCAGAGTGGGGAAAATGAAAGCAACACAGTCAGTAGTTCTTCACCATTTCAGGCATCATGAGACTGAGGAAAACCTCTTTCCTGCCCTTCAATGGCCTTAAAGAGCTTGGCATTGGGACTGCAGTCCAGTCTGAGGATTGGATCTCCAGAACCCAATCTTCAAACTTCACCAGCTAAGTTAGAAAATAACTGGGAGTTAGGAGAGGAAAATAGGTATGCTAAAGAACTACCTTCCAGGTTGATATAGATGTAAAATTTTGGTATCTATGCTGGGTAAGCACTGTAAGTGGTGCTACTAGAAAATTTGGAGTACCAATTTTCCTGTGGCACTGTTAGAATCATAAATAATATGATTTACTGCTTGAAATGGTATTAACAGTAAATAGGAAAAAAACCAAACCAGTATGTGATAAGGTTCTTAAGATGCTGTGTTCCCCTCTCTTTAGTCCAATTGTCATAAAAACAAAACATATTAATGTTGCCCAAGTAACTGATTTTACTGATTGTAATACATAAGTTTTCAGAGCAGATAAAGGTTGGTTGCTATTATAGAAGTGGATTCTGTGTGAGCTTTCAGAGCAAAGAAATAACTCTTTATATCTGGCATGGAAAAATTCTGAAATTGTCTGGAGCTGCTATATACTTTAGCAGCTGATATCTGCATTTCAGAGCCATCAGTTGTCTGAACATATTCAGAGCTGTATTTTAATGTCAGGACTTTAACTTAGAGAATAAAGACCTTGGTTATGTATATGAACAACGCTGATTTGCCAGGTACTGGCAAAGCTGGCATATCACCTCCTGAAATGCAGCTCCATATAGCTTGTAATGTGGCAATTGGATTCCTTCACTTGTAGTTTCACAGCAGCTTTCATTCAAATCA